AGCGTTTCTGACTATTTAATACATGCAGCTACCTTCAAATGTCCTAATTTGCCTCAACTGAAGCATTTATATTTCATATTTAAGAAGAAGGGCCCTAACCTTAAGAAGGTTATTGTAATATGTCTGCAGGGAGTTGTATTTTTCATTAACAGAAACTTAAGGCAAAAGGCAAAGTGCAATAGATCCAAATAAATCAATCTGTGTCTTCTACTGTAATACGCGGAGCATTGCAGTGTTGTACTGATAAAAGTAATAATATGGAAATGTAGTTTGTGATAAATTATCCATACAAGCCATTATAGTGCAGGTATCGGTGGTCATTATTAGATTATTGTTTTGTTTTTTAGAAATAATAGTTGTTGAAATTGCGTATTGAAATTGAGATTGAAATCTCGTAGCTTTCAGTTGACCTCCTTTAAGATCGGCAACATTGTTAGTCGAAATGATATTTGTGCCATTTGGTCTTATCTTAGTTATTTTGCAACATACCATTTAGGTCTGTAGAAGAGCAAACCAAGTGTTTTGTATTTATTTTCTATTAATACAGTTACCTATTACCTATCTTCTTCGTGACTTGTGGCACATACGGTCTTATGATATATTAAAGTGTGTCTTTAAAAATGTGGCCAAGGAAAACAGATGAAAAATAACACATTGGGCGCCGTTCACACGTTAAATCTAAAAATGCCTGGAAAACACCAGATGCTTTCATCCTTTTTTCCAAGGTGCTTGGGTGTGGGGGGTTGCACTACTGTCGCACCTGCTGTTACAAAGCAAAAGTTGCGCACTGCGATGACAATGATGATGAAGTTGCGGAAATACAGCAGTAACCCTCACTGACTAAACTTAAAGTCAAAACGAAGATAAATGGACTTCCAACACCGTAAATCCCTCACAGGAGGTTTACTTCTCAATTTATCTGTGTCAGTTTGGCAGACATTTCAAACGGATGTTAAGACGTTCTTGGATGGAAAACGTGAAGCAAGTAAAACAGTCCATAGGACAGAAGCTGCGGTTAGTCCTGCACTATAATGATTTATTTCTCCTCCATATAATTACAGTGGATATTTATGGAAAAAAGCAAAGATATCTGCCAGCTGTGGTTGTTTCTTGTCACATGAAATACAATGCACCCTGCAGCATTTCAAAAGTTGACCTATTTTTATTTTGGGGTGCAGCCATCGCTCACTGAAACATAAGCGCTTGAGAATGCTTGCGCAGCGCGACAGCGTCACTTTCGTTAGAGTGCAGTGGATTTGAGGGTGCAAAGAAACGCGATATGTGAACAGCCCTTTTGTCTGAATCTGATTCATATTCAGTATTTCTGTTGATCAATGAGTCTAGACAAAATAAAATAAATTACACCATTTTTCCGAAAAATGAGTAGGGTGTGTGAAATACCTACAGAAATAGTGAATGTTGCAGGTTTGTATTTACTTTTAAGCACTTTAAGAAATGTATACTGTGGTACATCTCACCTGCTCTATTGTTCCGGGTTTGCTGTAAATGTACATGACCAAATAAATCTTCTTTAGCATGGTCTCAAACATAATCTTATTTTCTTAGCTCTTTGTATAACAAGCAATCTCTGATTGAGAGCTAGCAAATGTGATGCCTACCACTGCATCAATTGACCAGATGCAAGGATATGGGATTTGGAGATTTTCAACCAATTGTCTATTTTTTTTGTAGAGGATAGAGGATTCCTATGCCCTGGCCCTGAACTTTTCCCAGCATTCATAGGTTGACAACACTGAAACACCTTGAAGAGGTTACCAGCCTAAGGGCTAACTCACACACACAAACATTATCACTCACATTCACACCTACAAGTAATTGGGAGTCTAAAGCTCACATAGTCAGCCTGTGAGAGCATGAAAACTTAACAGAAACGAGACAAGACTGCTATTGTGCTGTTAAAGTTTTTATCTTTGCAGAATCATTTTGTGAGTTTTAAAAAATGTATTTATTAATATTCAAAATTCGACCACTCAATTTAACTCAATTTTCATGTAACATATGTGCAAAACCTGAGACTGACTTGCCTTTACAATACCTCTTGGGGTCTCATGTCTTGTCATACCACTTGTACTTACTGTTGAAGTATAATTACTACTATGGTATATATTCTAACTTGTGCACTGAACTTGTGGGAATGACTAAAATGCTGTTATTTGTTTCATTCATTAATGTACAGTCAGTATATTTTTGTGTAATGTGTTTTCTTTGAAAGCTGATATATGATACATGATGTATTTTTTAACCTTTTAAACTACAACTTATTTGTAATAACTATAATTTTTCTGGATATGTTCTGGAAATATATTCTAGGTCATCTATGCTTAGTCACTCAACAGCCAAAGGAACACTTCCCCACCCTACAAATGCAATTAACACATTTTTGGGAAATACTACATTTGTACGATACTCTAGTTGTTGATGGTGGATTATTAAGAAACATAACATGATTATATTCAATTGTGAAACCTGTTAAACTTGATGAAATGCTTTCCCTAAAACAACTGCCCCATAACAAGGCACAATTATTGCAGCTCTGCTTTGTGTGATTGGTGAAACAGTATAAATGATTACTTTTTCCTTTTTTCTCTGGTCTACATTCAACAGTATGAACTCAACACATACCAGGCAGTGAATAGGCCCATTGAGCTTTATTTGGAGTGGCTGTCTAACCAAGGTCCTCAAAGTAAATATGAATACAGTACATTCTGTCAGGGTCACAGTTAGCTCCCTATTCACACAGCTCCATGTCTAACACAATTTACTCCACAGCCAATCACTATTGCACTGAAATCCTGGGGAACCATAGCAACCGTGAGGCCTTGAATGTTATTGGCAGGGTCAATGAAATGAAAGAGAAAAGAGACGGAAGTCAAGTTTAAAGAAGAAAAACAACTGAATCTATGCAGCTGCCAAAACTGCCACCAAGCTGTGGAGATTTGACAGTGAGTCTGCTGATGAAACTGCTAACTATGAGCTCAAATAGACTCTGTTTAAATGGCTCATTGGCCTGTTGCAGCCCACAAAGTCCCTATGTACTGTTTAAAATGTCACTGAATTGTCTGTCTCTCTCTCTCTCTCTCTCTCACACACACACACACACACACACACACACACACACACACACACACACAC